GAACGTTAGCTCCAACCGGTAGTTACCTTCGGGTATTAAGTTAATTATTCTTTCAGCCCTTTCTTCTGTCACCGTCTCGTCCGTATCTCCCTCCATAAATGTTGTGAAGGCAAAGTCAGCATCCAGGCGATCCAACACCTGAGTTCGCAGTCGGCGCACAGTTTTATTTCGAATGCTTGTGATGGTGTCCATCTATATGTAAAGGATATCTTAACCTCCGTTTGCGATATCTTTGATTCCCAACACAGCAGCAGTAAGGACTTGTCGCGCGGGTATTTCCCGCTGCCGGCGCCTTCCTTAAAGCGCCTGTAAAACCCGTAAATCTTTGACATTGACCGCGAGTCCCCCTTACTGCTGCTGAAGTAAATATACAATTATCTTTAAAACCGGAAGTAAAGTAAAATAATTACCGGAAGTTGTTTAATTTGTGTTATAAATCTACAACTGTAGTCAAAGGGAGTATGTCTGTTTTACAGATGAAAGCAGAGCTCAAAAAGAAAGAAAGGATTTGCCTATTATGTTGCGTATTAGTCGTCTTATTTTTTCATTTGTTTTAAATAACAAATGCAGATAGAAGGGTCTTGGATATTTTTATCTTTCCTCAAGCTATACCAGAATGTCTTGGGTGGCTAACAAACAGGCTACATTAAGTTCATCTCCCATCCCTTACCTTCTGCTTTAACCAATCAAAAGCCAAGATCCCTCATGTAGGGCAAAATTCAAAAAAATATATATTGACCTAAGCTAGACTAGAATGCACTTCGTTATGTAGCCAAGAAGAACAAAGGTGCTGAGAATGTTGGGTAGAACGAAATACACGCAGTTTCTTTAGCTGAGAAAAGGATCTTCTTTGGCACAGGCAACTAAATGTGCCTCGCACGAACAAATTCTCATATGCGTTGAAAAAACACGAATCAATAACTGCGCAAGATTATTAAGTATTTTTATTTATTGGATTGACATTGTCAGCAGCATTTATACCTGTGTTTTCCCTCCTTGGGTAAGTTTCATCATTGGCAAATAAATAGAGGATATTGCATAACCGTACGGAGATACAGATTCTGGAGCATTGAGTTGATATCTTACGCAGCGCAGCTCACTCGTAAGATATTCTCAACAGGAGGAGGTAATCCGTAACTCGAAGCGGCCACGTAATATTCTGTTTAAATATACGGTATTTATTAATGAAATACAATTTTAGTGGATTTTTACTATTTGATGTAGTTCCTGAGAATTACTTTCACATGTAAAGATATTTAACAATTATTCACCAAAAGGTGAATCGAATATCGGGGAATATTAACTGGCGAGTCGTTTTAGTATTTTTTAAGTGAATTCAATGAATTTAATAAATGTTTTAAATTTTATTTATCTCTGCAAGAGTGCGCGAGCACGCATTATATTGACCTGTAGGTGAATAATGCAGCGTAAGACGTAAATGGTGGCGAATGAGCGTACTGGATTTATTATTACGTTTGGCAGCGATTGATTCTCCATTGCACCGTGTTAACTCTCTTTGAACTTATGTCGTAACGCTCTTGCGAGACAAGTTGCACAGAAAATTGCTCCGGGTGTAATCGTGCCTTTATACTAACTAAATAACTTTATTGACAATAATAATTAACTAATAATTCATTATAATATGAGACGTGATAAGAATATTGCTATAATTATAAAACAAAAAAGGAGAGATTATTAATATAAAATAACAAATATATATAATATTTACTTATTTATCTATGAAAACATATTTGTAAAATAAATTAATAGCTCAAAACACGAGTCCAGCTCTTCACACTGAAGAGCCTTTATCGTGCCTTTATACTGCATAAAAATCATCGAATTATGCAATTATCATTATAACAAAGCGGCTAAAATGATACTAAAGCCCCGTCCACACTAATGCAGGCGTTTTCGAAACGCATCGTTTTCGTCTCACCGGAAAGCATCGAAAGCTCCGCGTCCACACTAGCGTTTTGAAAGTGATTTTACCCGTCAACACTAAGAGACAGACCATTAGATAATTCGGGAAGGGAGGGTGGGGTGAGGGTTTTTTAGTATTATTGACGCAAGGCCAAAACATGTAAAACTATGCGTTTTCAGACAAAAACACAGTGTGGACGTGACGTAAATCGGTCCTTAAGGCACAATTTTATAGCTCAACAACCGCAACTTGTAAAGTAAGGCTCCTAATGCCCAGTCCTCGTCGATTCCGTGTACTGACTTCGGCAGAACAGTAATGGGAGTGTTATCTTCAAAATGGTATGACTCTGTTAGCATAAGGTAAAAGAAATTGGCATTAAGGCAATTCTTGGTGGACGGTAGATCACCGTTCCTAGGCTGTGAGCTACTGCAGGACAGACGCGCTGCCGCATTGATTTTGGCGGGAGTGAAGACCTTCTCACATCCAAGACATCCGATCTCATTTAGCACGTTCACGACCTGCGGCAAGGCGTAGAATTTAATATATTTTGGCGGTTTTCGTATGTAAGGACTGCGAGTCCAACGACCGTAATCATTCAAAATGACGTCATTGAGAATCTTTAGGCATTGCTGGACATTGCCGTTCCCAATATACTGCTTTACTATATCGCCATCAACAACCTGTACTTGGGCTCCCTGTGGACTACATGGACTGGTTTGTTTGCCTTGGCCTTGTACTTGGCCTAATTTAGTAAAGTACTCTCGTAAAGTCGTCCCGAAACCTTCTGTAGTGTAGGATTGCGCAATTAAGAGGTACGGCATTGTGCCGATGGTGACAAACTCTGTAGTGTTCATGCTTGTACTGTGAACCGGATACGCGATCTGTGTGACTGTGTTAAGGCTTAAACCCAGTACGCCAACTTTTGAATGTGATTTCTCTTGATCGAAATATCCTGCTAGAAAATTGACCGTTAACCATTTGAATAAGATCTCGCTCCTTTCGTGAATGATTGCAATAGATCGCTTGCTTGGAGGCAGAAATGGATGGTTGTTGAGATTGTTCAAAAATCCAATGACTCTTAAAGACATGGCGTTGAGTGCTTCTCCGTAAACTCCCTTTTCTGACTGCAACACTAGAAAGAAAAATGGCGTCGAGAAACGATTGTTTACTGGAATAACCTTCTTTGCAGATTCTACTAAGGCTTTCAAAATAGGATCAAATGTCTGCGGCTCGTATAGGATAGCGGTGATGTTGATCTGCCATTGACCAGGACTGGCGACCACCTGACGTACGTCTGATGCTTTGGCTATTTCGTCTTCGGCACGCCTTACTACTTTGTATATTTTCAAATCTATCCTTTCTAACCTCGCAGTAGCAACGATGCCGTATTCTGTGCACGGCGCTTTGCAAGGAGAAATACGACCTAACGAATTAATAAACGTATCGTTAGCTCGTACACTCTTAAAATTGACCCATTTGGTAAAGACACAATTTCAAAATTTCATTGCCATATTTTGTCCCACAAGCCTCGTTTTCATGACCTAATGCCAGTACCAACCTCGCGATCAATAAATTCAAATACTTCTTTTAAAGTAAAACGTATTTCAACATAATATTGCCCTTCGAATGCAGTCCATTTTAAACAAATATAAAGGCATGACAAAGGCATCGTCTTTTGGAAAAACAGAATTCAATATGGCGGTCATGACGTCACAAAAAGCCAACTCGGTATTTTGGTGTCAGTGATGAGCGTACGCTTTGAGAGTATTAAAACAAATCTGATTTTCACTCTAAACTATTTTCAACGTACCGCTAAATGTACTGCAGAAAACCTCTATATACAATACGACAGCTGCCATTTTTGAGAATTTTGACGAATGCAATAGGTTTTTGTCGTTACGTCATCCAACATGGCCGTCATCTTTCACATTCTAATTATACAGCTTCTCGTTAATCCCATATAGGTAACTGTACAATTACTTTCTTAATTGGACAGGTCTTGTTGATATGGGATTAATTAGGCAGCTATATAATTAATTGGTAATGGGATTTCATGCTCCCCAATCAAAAAATAATTAGACTCGAAAAATTCCTCTGACTGCCAAATAGGACTCGGCCTATGACCTCATCAAATTTTGTCAGTCCTCGGAATTTTCCTCGTCCAATTATTTCTTTATTGGACAGCATGGAGTCCTATTACATATACTAATATTTCATTTTCTAAAACTTTCAATGTTAAATTATCGCCTTTTTCGAAGGAAAGCTTACCATTTTGCGCTACGGTGGCAGAACTTGTCGTATCAACCATGAGAACAGTCAATATGAAGTAGAATATACCATGTGGGAGTGGCGATTGAACAAACAACATGAAGACCATCGCGATGACCTGTAAAAGAGAGAAAATTATATTAAATTATATTGATTTTTTTTTTCCGGTCCGGTATGCTAAACAATCATGCGTTCTGATTGGCTGTGTGAGCGGGCGGTATTTTGTAAGTATCTGCCCGCGCTCGCGGTCCGATATCCTTTCAGTGCCGCTAAACAACAAAACATAACGATTACAAAAACAAATTTAAAAAAAGCACGGGGAAAAAAGAAATAAGTTATTTACCGTCCTATAGTTGGTCCGGATAGGGAAAAACTGTGCCCTCGGTCTTGAAAGCGGTCCTTGACCTAACGGCGTCGGCTGTATATTCAAGACCTCCGGCACAGTTTTTCCCTATCCGGACCGACTATAGGACGGTAAATAACATATATAAGTATTTTTTCATATTATTTGTAAAGAATATTTTTTGTGATATATACCAAACTAATATCCATGAATATTTTAAATGACTCGCTATATAAATGCTATCTACTCTCGACATCTACTGTCAAAAGGTAAATATCAATAAATGTCGCATAATTTTCTTAGAATTCCATGGCTAAATTTATATTTGATGAGGAATAAGACATAAATAACTATCACGAGTTTTTTTAAAAGTAAAGATAAACCACTGGGTTACCAAAAAACAAGGGTACTATAAATAAGGTACTAACAAAAAATGCGCCTGTTGACCAAAGATAACAAGATCCAACTAGTATTATAGTCTAATATTAAATAAGAGTGACGCACAGCAAGCGGTCTACCCTTTGACTTATTTGGTAATATGAAGTCTATTACTGACCTAATAATACATTAAAATAAACTATGATGTTGACTCAATATCTTCAATTACTTAATATCTTCCAAGTGGTGAAAAAATATCAACGCATAAAGAACAATTGGGGTGTGAAGACAAAATAAAGTATATTAAAATACCAGCGACGCATCTAAAAATGCATCAAATATATATATATTTCACGTAAACCTTTACATGTTAAATTAAACATAAAATAAAATACATTTTAGAGAAAAAATGGAAAAAAAAAAAAAAAAAATCTTTCAAATATTACTTGCCTGTCGAGATTTCCTTGTTTTCCCCTCGTTTTTGGAAGGACAAAACACCTGTGTGAATCACGTCCGACTTAAGTACGACCACCAGTACGCCCGCAGTCACGCGTACCCCTTTTTTCTCGAGACTTTGTCATTGATACCAGTATTTCGTCTTAAAATTGGAATCCGAAATTTTTGAAGAAACATATCAAGGTAATATGATATTTATAGATAGATAAGTGTTTTTATATCTGACTATATATATGTTAGTTCAAATGAGTACGAGTACTTTGTTTTGTAAATATCATATTAATTTTGAAAATATTTGATATTGTTGATTTTGGTTTTATAGAGCTAACTATATGTGTTATGCGAATTATTGATTAACCTCTGGCCTGATTAAGTGATTGGATTGCTCGCCCAGCTCTGTTATGGCTTCGTGTTGAGCTTCTTTTTCGGGAATAATTCTAATATTAAAATCAAGTCCTTTCTTTATGTTCTGAAAAAGTAAAAAAAGAGACAAACCTTGTCACCTTAATCGTTGCCTAATTGGCGAATTATTGTTTTTTCTGTCTTTTTTTCTTCCATTCTTTCTTTTTTTTTTCTCTCTTGTAATTCTGTAATAAGAAAACTTCAAACTTGATTCTTATTTACATCTCGTCTGATTTTTACTTTATGCTTCCTCGAATTTCCAAGGTAATTTTGAGATGACTAAAGTTTTGTTTCGTAGAGAATCGACGCGAATAAAACAGGTTTAACGCGATCGTATGATAGTGTTAAACCTGATCGTATGATCGTATGCTTTGTCGTTTTTTTGCTTGTTTTTTTTTTTGTTTTTTTGTTTTTTGTTTTTTGTTTTTTTGTTTGTTTTTGTTTATATATANTTTTTTGTTTTTTGTTTTTTTGTTTGTTTTTGTTTATATATATATATATATATATATATAACAGTTTTTAAATCTATACATATAAATTATTTATTTCGTGGTCTTTCTAATCCGTATAAGCCTAAAATATTGGTTCTCACTTTTTATCAGCTGCTCAGCTGTCATCCGCTTTGGTCATGCGCAGTGTCATAAATTTGTTTGTTTTGTTGCTGCTGCTGCTGCTTCTTTTTCGCGCAAGTGAAGGAGCATATGTGTCCGAACTGGGTAAGTTCAATTCGTAATTCATTATTCTTTCCTTCTTCTTGGCGATTGACAGTTGAGATTGGGTACTCTTCCCCGATCTCGTACCCAGAGCCTGCGTTTCTTCTGGCCTGCGGCGAATAAAAAGGCCTCTGGCATAAAAGCGCATGCGTTCTAAGACTTGCCAAAATTAAATAAGATATGCTACCGATTTCTAATTTTTATTTTGATCGAGAGTTAACACAAAACTCTGTTTTATTAAAGCATGTTTTTCATCGATTATATTTACTGTCGGATAATTGCGCATGCGCCAAAAAATGCATTGTGCCAGAACCCTTGTTCTTCGCCGCAGGCCAGAAGAAATACAGGCTCTGGGTACAAGATTGACTCTTCCCCAAAAAGCTAAACTACTGGTGTTGTAAAAGCTTTGATGTTGTAACCCAGTAGTTACTGTGACTGTAAATGAATTTTTGTAAGCCAGTAACTACTGGTGTTGTAAAAGCTTTGATGNGTTGTAAAAGCTTTGATGTTGTAACCCAGTAGTTACTGTGATTGTAAATGAATTTTTGTAAGCCAGTAACTACTGGTGTTGTAAAAACTTTGATGTTGTAACCCAGTAGTTACTGTGATTGTAAATGAATTTTTGTAAGCCAGTAACTACTGGTGTTGTAAAAGCTTTGATGTTGTAACCCAGTAGTTACTGTGATCGTAAATTAATATTTGTAACGCAGTAACTACTGGAGTTGTAAAAGGTTGTTTGTTTCTCATTCATATTTAAAGCCTGTTTTTAAACCATGCAAACGTTTGTTTTCGCAGGAAAATTGTACCCATGCGTTGCCCCTTGTACAGACTACGGTATCGTCATAACTCCACAAGATAAACCACACACATTATCAATATCTGTCTATAAATTCTCTCTGCGAAAAGACAGAGAAATCAAGCCGACGGACATCAAGAAGATCAAAACTACCCCGAGCGAGGTTCCCATAGACTATGATAAAGTCTTCAGCGGCAATGTTTCCATAGGAATGTACATCCTTCCTCTCGTGAAAGCAGCAGAAAAGGCTATCCCACGTGACCAACACTTGACTTCGCCCATTTTGTTTTCTGTAAACGAGAGACTTGTTGCCCAGAACCCCTTTGCATGGTTCAAACAGATTGGAGAAATAAACCTTGTATTTGCTAATAAAACAGTGCCGTTTCTTGTGAGCCCGTTTTCAGTGGATGAACTCAAAGCCCATACCGAAGCGTTGTTCAAATGGCAGCTGATAAACTTCCTTATTGGAGACTTGTCGAGCAAGACTGTTGGAGTTCTAAGCTTCAACAGTAGAATGGGTTCAGAGGTATCGTTTGAAAAGCGCGTCCTTGATCAAAGTGTCACGGATTTGACAACGATTGCTGGCATTTCCCATGCTGTCGTTACCTCCAATTTCTTCAGAAAAGGAGATATTCTCCCACTCAATACTTATTTGAAGGCTATTTCTTCACCGAGAAAAGCGGTCATAGAGAGTCCTTGTGGACCCAAAGGTGTCAAAAAGCGGTTCAAAGGCTTGCGAGGAGTAAAGTGGATTGTCGGTACAGGTGACATCGAAAAATGCCGTAGCATAATTCGTCGTGTTCTTCTATCCATCTGTGATAAGATCAATGGCTGTGCATATCTTAAAGAGCCTATCAAGGGTAAAATCATTGGTTATCCAGATGTTGGAGAAACGATGAAACAGCTGGGATACGATAGCTGCGCAGAGCATTTAACTCCCGCCAAGCTGGATGCAGCGATCAGACGCGTTTGTGGCGGGAACGGTAAAGCTGCTAAAGGCGGGAAAAGTAGTCCACGTGTGATATTCAATTGCGTTAATGGCAACTTTTTATACCTCATGTTGACCAAGGGGTATAAAATGAAAGATAGTACAAGCATTGAAATCAAGAACGAAATAGCAGGACTGAAGGTTGATACAAGTCTTGGCGAACTGTTGATGAAGATGAAACTACTAGATTAAGAAGATATGGTATCTGTTTTACATTGAACAATGGCATTGAAAAACGATAATCAAGACTTCCACCATATGCAACTTTGTTTTTTTTGGTCATCGGATATATCATCGTAGATATACTGAGGCTATCATTGACAGTGTTAACGTTAGAATCGGTTCGAAGATTTCGATGATTTTGGTTATGACAACAACAACTTTATTTGTACATGAATACAATCAGTTTACAATATTATAGTTAAAATTAAATTATATTATAGTGTACTAGGTAATCTGAAATGAAATACATCAATCTAATAATCTTATAATCTTGATATACTGTAGACTGCTTATTTTGTGGTTTGGACTTTTTGCTGATTTCCTTACCTGAAAATTATAACTAGGCTACGTTACTCTACCCTTCCTTACCTACGCATCCACCCTGCTCAACCTATGCTTCGCTACCTCCTACCCTACCCTAAGGTACTAACCTATAAACCAATTAACCCTTTTTGCCTACCCTACCCTACCTTACCTATCTCCCATATCCTACCCTACTCTAGCTACCCTACCTTACCCTACTTTACTCTACCTTACCCTACCTTACCCTACTGTACTCTACCTTACCCTACCTTACCCTACTCTACTCTACTCTACTCTACCTACCCTACTCTACCTTACCTACAATACCTTACCTTACCCTACCTTACCCTACTCTACTCTACTCTACCTACCCTACTCTACCGTATACTCTGCCCTAGCTACCTTTCCCTACCTTACCTACAATACCTTACCCTACCTTACCCTACTCTACCTACCCTACCCTACCTTACACTACCTTACCCTTCTCTACCTACCCTACCCTACCTTACCTATATACCAAGCAAGCCAAAACGTCCAATTGCGCGCCACTTTGAAGGAGAGAGTTAACTGAAAAAACGATAGCCTTCTTATACATCACTCCTGTGTTTGAATTGTATTAATCACACTAGTGGAGCCCAATCACATACCAAAACTACATAAGAACTAGAATAATAATAAATAATAATTTTATTATTAGAGTGCAAACAATTAATCCGTGAAACACTAATTACTAAATAGTACAAAATAGTGCTAATTAAACAATAGAAAACAATGGAATTTTCATGAAATTGTGCTATTTAGTATTACTAAAGTTTAACGGATTTACTGTCGTCACGCGAAAATTAGCATGCGTACATGTTTATGATCAAAACAGCAATATTGGTCACCCATCATGTATAACATAATTACTAATGATTAACCACAGGTCACTGAAGTTTAATTTTTTATTATTTACTAATAATCTATATCCCTTTCAATAGCGTGTCAAACGTAACAAACTTAGCTAAAGTTCTCACAAAATCTAGCTCACCTCTTACATTTCATGAGACTATGTGAAATAAGCAGGTTTCTTTCTAATAGCTATTTTCAGACCCCAGACAAGCGGGCGTCGTTTTTTAAACGCAACTCATTTTCCGGTACTGAATAAACAAATTGGTTTACGGTCTACTTCATCCATCGCCTAATATGGTCAATTGAATTATAAAATTCGCGTGAATTAATCAAAGGAGAGCAGCGGTGTGTGTCGAGTAGAGAGCATGTTTCATTGAACGCTTTAATATAAGTCATTCCGACGAAGGTTGAGGGAAAAACTGGGCCGAGTTGGCACTGCAATGCATTGTGGGACAGTTTTAGAAGACATTTCCAAGATGGCGTCTATCTCGGTCCCACAATGCACTGCAATGCCAGTTTTTTTGGGGGGGATTGACTCAGTATATATCTATAAACCTTGTCTAAAAAATTATGGCACTGACATATGTATATGTATAGTATATGTAACTTCACTTCTTGTACTTTCTCTCAAACCTCCAGATACCTAATATGTATTTAGTAAGTGTTTGACATCTTGTAGAACCCTGGATCTTTGACATCGGAGACACGAAGAAAATACAAGGGTGCAAGTAGAGTTGTATATATATTTCAGTCCTATAATTGCCCTATTTCACTATGACGTCACATCAAAACAATCTGTTGTTTAAACGCAAAGGTTCATGGTCGTCGGAGGGGGTCAAATCAACGCAAATTCACCGAAAATTGTTCTAAAACCCGTATCAATCCACGAAGAGAAGTAGAATAGCCAGCAAACGCTCAGAATATTTTTCAGTACATATTAACACATATTATATCTGAAAACCAGGCCATTTTAGATTAAACTGTTTCGCTAGGAGCAAATTTTGTTGACTTTTCTATTGGATTTGGCGATTCTATCCCCCACATAAACAAGCAGTGACGTCACAGTGTAATAGGGCAATTTTTAGAAAATTGTACTATTAAGAGAGTAAATGGTTTGAACCCAGGTTGGAACTATGTGAAAAGGTTTTGCATATAATGGCTGTATATATACTATAAATGACTGGCTACTACGAATGAACCAAACACCAGTGAGACTCGCCATCATCTTTTAAAATAAGAAACCTTGACCGAACTAAAAACACGACCAAAATAATCTAAAAATAGAGCTATTTTTAACAACGTCTCTGAGAGCTCTTGAGTTTGAGTTGGTCTAACAGCGTTATTTATCATTCTAGTCTAGATAGCGGTAGTGTAGTACCAAAACAAGAGTACACAAATAATCGTGATATTTTTAGCAACGTAACACCTTGTTGACTTTAGAGTACTTTTAAAGTTGTTTCGAAGCTAATTCTTATAATGCAGCCAATGAGTAAGCACACTCAATATCGACAATTAGAAGGTGATGAGTCGATTTTATATATAACTTAAGATCTTTAAAATGTTTCTAGATTTTTTTCTTTTTTTCCCCAATTAGTTGCTTAGTGTTGTTTCTGGTATGATAACCACATCTTACTTGTTTCTGCGTCGCCCAAACTTCAAAGACGACAGAGACAGCCTGATAACTAAAGGGCTTAAATAGCCCCGTTAGTACCCAGTCTTTCCTCGCGTCACGCATTACCCTCGCGTGTGAAACACAAATCTGCCAAAAATGACTGACTCCAGAAAATCTCTTGAAGCAAAATAATTCGAAATCGAATTTTCCCCCTTATTTTATTGCATATATCTTTACCCAGCTCGAAGGTACTTTTCTGTCCCACTTTGTATATTTCTCGCGTGCTCAAGTTTTTATGCATCAGATCAGTATTCATCAGTCTACTGTGCTTGAAATAATATCGGATATTGTTTATTAAGTCATTCTACTACCGTGACCTCTTTTCTATCGTGATTCTATCTAATCTCGACCAAAGTGGCCTTGCATTCAGTTCATAAGTTCAATAGACCCTTTCACGGTTTCCGACGCCACATTGCTTGGGGGGCAAAATTTACTAAGGAGCGTAGGGGAAAGAGATACGTTTTTCGTTATATTTCCTTTCTGAGGTAAATTTTCGAGACCAAACTTTTTCTGTAGATGGAGAATCCTCTGTTCAATATTTTGTGTGCCGTTTTTGAGCCGATGGAACCAGCATAACACTGGTGCATAGAGAGACGGAGGCTTTGGGTTTTGCGAGTTTTGCGACTCGATCATACTGGTTCAATTTGGCCGTAAAAAAAATCTTGCCTCGACAAGAATGACTCGACAATTATTTTGCAACTTGCACAACTATTGCATTTTGCTTATAGTGCTAAAGGGTTATTATTCCCACACCAAATGCCCGTACGTGATAAGCCGATGATCGCACGCAGTGAAGTTGACCAAAAACAAGCTCAGCAAAGCTTTGAAAGACCGCCCCGAGGTAATTAGAATGGTGATTAACAACGACCTGCGTGGGACGTTTGAAATGACGACAGATTAGCTCTTGTACCATAAATAACGACCTTGTTGTTTACAAGCTCCATTACAAGGCTATCGTTACTGAAGCAAATAATTCCTAACCATACCTTTTCTATGACGATATAGTCTTCTCTTTTACCTATTTTGAATTGGTTTGCTTGGCGTTTCTCGTGATTTTAGTCGTTCTAAAATCTCAGTTGTATCAGCAGATTGCCAATGAAGATATTAGTTGGGTGTAAATCGTTTCAAAAGAGATGATATCTTCCTGTACTGAAGTATTAAATGGAAACTAAATACGTTCATTGCACTGCTACAGCTGTTGAATTTCTCTCTATAAAAAAAACTGCCAAAATATAGCGACATAATTTGTATCACTGACAAAATGCTCTTAGGCATTTAGGTTACCACCATTTGCATTCTCATGCCAGAGTTGTTTTTTTTTCTCGTGACTTGCTCTTTCGTATTTACTAAGTTTACACCTGAGAAGCGATATATTTAGCCTAAGCAAGCGGCTGGCGTGAAAGACAAGCTCCTCTTGTTCAAATAAGGGCGTCTTTCCCTCCTACCGATAGCCATCGGAGCCCTCTCCCCCTGCACAAACCTTAGGGGCATAAATCTTTCTTACGGCTTAATAAGTTGGGCTTTGCATGGCTTGAAGTCTGGAAATTAGGAATCAGAGACAGAAACTAGTTTAAAAAAAAGGAAAATGGAGCGACTCAGGTGATTAGAGCACAAAATTGAATTGTCAATTCAAGTTTCCGTAGGCCATCTTTTCAATGTCCCCTTGCTACGATATTCACGCGCATGGGCAAGCTATTCTTGAAACAACCCCCTTAGCAGTTAAAGACAAAACACTAGATAACTTCATAAGATCAACTGCAGATGACCTTGATTTTCGGCATTGCATCTCTTGATGTTGGCTTAAACTCTAATCCAAAGCAACCATCCCTTGTTTTTAAATTGGAAAAGTAATCTCTTCACGCTGAACTTATATTAGATATAAAGTTGATTGTTTGTCTAAAGGATATCGTTCGCTTTCATGTCAGAAAGAGATTAGTTTTCGTATCAAAAAATACGAGTTAAAATAATTGTGAAATCTGCAAGATGGAGTGTCGTATATATCATCCCCGCCGGCATTTAATAATAGTCCCGGTACACCGAGTTTTGGTTACATACAGTGTTACTTGTTGTGCATGGCAACATCCTTGTACAACCTTCGCTGTTGAATTGCACCCTAAAAGATGTCACACGGTATTAAGGTTTATGACACGGGAGTACAGCGTATTGTACTCAACATAGTACAGTTAACGCACTAGTCGCCGGATCCAGTCGGCCTCGGTAACAACCTTGTACAACCTTCACTTTCGCACTCTAAAAGATGCCACACAGTGCATACGTCCGTGCCGTCCCGTGTCTGGCCATCACTTGTCATTGTCACGCAATCTTGGGTGTTTCACCCTAATATTGTGTTAGCTATTTTATGGGACCAACTTCAGTTTAACAGCAATCGGTATTACCGAAATAAAGTAACGGAGCATGAATTAAAATAAAGCACTCAGGACACTCTACTAGTCTTCGTACGTGTCCGGTCACATTACAGTTTAGACATCATGAACTCTCCGTCGGAGAAAACACTTCACACCCCAAAAACCTCCCAAATACACTCCCAAATCTCTAATTATTCACCAAGAGAACTCGGGAAACCGTTTCGACACCTTTTCACATTTGTATCTGACGGAGCATTTTGCGCCTGCGCGCGGGTCTAATTTTAATAGGCCACGAAAGCGCGGGAAAAGAGCTGGTCGTGTCTTTGAATGACCGCCGCCAAGTTTAGCAGACTTTACCGTCGTGTGTTTTGGGAATTAGGGTCAACTACCAAGTTATTAGACTTAAATCAATCTGTCGGCCTGCGGTATTTTCTATTTGAGCGTGGGATAATTCTAATATCAAAGGTAGACAACACATCCCATGCTGGTGGATGAGAATGGATCTCTTGGAGCGAAAAACTGTTTACTGTTTGATTGAATTTGCGATTGTAAATGACTTCGTAAGCAAAGCCATTGATCCACAAAGGGGTCTGTTATGGTAAGGTCTGTTAATAGGTTTATTTAACAAAACATTCTGGGCTAAAAACAGTGACTTTTAAAAGTAGAGCTGAACAAAATTTAGAGCCATTTGACCTTCAGTTGTTGTTTTTTTAGTCTATTTGTTTTATGGCCTTTTTTCCTTCTAGTGGATTCTGTAAAACCGTTTCTCCTGGATGAGAAATTTGCCTGTTGAACTTACAAATAAATATTATTCTGGCAAATGTTAACCAACAAAAGAAGCTAATATAAAGAAACGAAAATTTGAGAAATAAAAATTTGGATGGACTGCATGAAAACCATAAACTTTTCACTTTTGGGATGTAGTTGTCATTAATGACACTTGGTCACTCTATTATCAGTTATATCTGGCATTTGGAGAAGCCAAGTCAGCCTGAATCTCTTACTAAAAAGGGTTTCACGTTTTCCGAAAATTGGAATCAAACAAAAAAAAAAAAAAAAAACCAATTCCCAAGCAGAAACTTTAGAATTGCCGAAGACGATCCCACATGTGAAGACCTATTGAACTTAGAGTATAGGATTTAACCTGATAGGGTTACACACTATCGCGATACCAACTGAATCAATGCGTTCTTATCTGTTGTTGTTGGGGGAAATAAAGCCTCTATTTATCGCTTGACCATTGACTAATTTCCAGCTGAAAGAGTTTCCTTATTTCTTTCATCCGCTGCATTGGCGTTTCGCCCTTGAATACACCGCGATCTAGTGAAAGTAAAAGAGGTGTCGTACTATGCCAGCAGGGAAATAGCCTAATTTTTGTTTTGTCCTGTCTTCAAACGTTTCTTTGAGTTGGTGGACAGCATCTTCCTAGTAATGCTATACTATTCTAGGACTGGAATCTTTCCAACTTCTAAAACAGATTTCTAGTGTTTTTACGTCAGTGTTATTGAATGAGTCAGATAATTTACATCTGCTTTTTACGTTGGTGTTAGTACTTTCCCCCGGGTTTTCTTGATGCACTTAGAAGACCCGGGTGGTATTACAGAGTGCAAGAATTACCAGTTGTCTGATGTGGGCCATGAAATGCAAGAAGAATGGAAACTGCAAACAGGTTCGATTACAGATTTTATGGGTCGGTTCTCTTCATTCTACTGAGGAAGCAAATGTCGAAGGAAACGACGCCCAAGCATAACACGTTTCGTACTAAACAAAATTCATTCAATGCGATAAAGAAATAAGAAGTGTCCTGGTCAAATTTTATTTTGATCATCTTTGACAAGAGTAAAAAGTCATTTCGAGTAATTGTTAATGAATTGTATTGGCAATGCTGAAACTGAATCAGTTTTTGGCTTATCTCTGTAAAACGATAAGTTCCAAATTGGGGAACGTACTAATGCAATAAAGAACTACTCTTATTACTTAATCACGTCTGGTGCAATAATTAGTAAGATGGCACTCGGTTTCTGCTAGCAAAATTGCATCCCACAAAATAAACTTATGTTATCGCTATTTTTATGAAGAAATTTATTAATGACGTTTCTAGATTTAGAGAAATGAAAACAAATGACAAACAAATCCTTTGTTGAGTTGTTTTGATTGAAAACATATGAAACATGAGATTAAAAACAAACTCTAGTAGGCTTGTTGTCCTGTGGCGTTAGATCAGCTTCGTTGGTGATCTGAAGACGTTGAAAAACAATCAAACTAAAACTTCCTTAATCTATGTAATAAATGTTGTACTGTGTAGCAGAATTCCAAAGTTTGATTAAAGGTAATTGCACCTCAAGTAAAAAGGTACAAAATAATAAGTTTTGCTTAGGTCGAAAGTCCTTCCAAAAATCCTGGAAGGTAAATCACAAAACCAATTTGCTGAGCAGAACGTTTCTGCATGCACCGAGAATCGAGATATAATCTCGGCTTTAGGCTTGTACAAACGATGAATACAATGGTCACTTGATTCCATCAAAATCCGATTACCGGGAACTCAAGGGAAAAAACCTGTTGCAGAAAACAGAAGCTTCTGAGGCGTTTGTTAAGTTTGGTTAAGTAAAAGCTAGATGTTTTTGATCGTGTCGGAGAAGAAGATGGTGGATGAAGAAAAAATTATACTTTTCACCCAAGTAGTTTCCGTGGTTCGTTTTAAAGGTATAAATATCGTTTTGAGAGACTTTTAAAGTCACAGGGTCAATAAGCAAGGTCAATCAGACCTATTTTGTGTACCAAATTCACCTATCAGATTGCTTCCAATCTTGCTCAATGAAGAAACGACATGACAGCCCGCGAAATTACCCTGAAATTATTTGTCAAGCACTTGCATTTGTCAAGAAATGCAATCGTTTTTGTCGGCATCAGAAGCATTGTTTATTGTAGTTTAGTCTTTTTGCAATATTTGTTGACTCTGCTAAATCCACTAACAAATAAAAACGCAGTCATCTTTTGGATAAGTTAAACAACTCAGGAGCCGTAAGTTTGGATAAATTCAGTCGGTCTTTCTTTTGCCTTTCCCGGCCGTGCGCGCACGAAAAATATAGCGTCCGACCAGTTGTTTTTTAAAAAGTTTATAAAAATTGCGTGCGGTTTAGTCGCTTGAACGAAGACAACGAATGACCTTATCCATACACTGCGCCTCTGATGTGTTTAAGAATTAATAGATATCTCGTTGAATAATGAACCTTTGTCTCGTCTTCCCGATAGCATAATCTCGTAAGCCGTGTCGTCTTGTGTTTATTGTAGTCAAACAATAAATCGGGGTCTTAAAAAAGGGGTCAGGATGTACATATAGTGAAAATCTAGCTCACAGAGAACGTAAGATTCTGCAGGTCTTTTAACAAGTGCTGACAAAAGCCTGTCAAAATGGTGTCGCTGATCACTAACGATAAATGACACTACGTCCAACGAGACACAGGTCAAGGAGCGCGCGCTGATACGAAGCAACAACGCTACGACAAGAAACGGCAAAACTGCTTCGCGGGAAATCAGAATTAGCGAGAGTTGTCTGGAAAAAAAATAGAGCATTTTGTGTTCTCAACTACATTAATGAAAGCCACCGAAAGGGTTAAGGAGTATCAGTTTCGTGGGCATGTATTAATAGCGTTTCCGGTACCGGTCTATATGCTCCAATGATCTCCTTTGTTCCTTGATTTACTGTTTGCCAACTGTCACTTAGTTGACCGCTGCAGGGATTCGTCAAATCGACCCTCGATGATCATGTTTCAATAAGGAAACGTAACGGGATCTGTACTGATGCCCACGACACGACATCTATCTCTACGTTAAAGGCTTCCTCCTAAAAAAGCGAGCAATTTTTTTTTTTTTACAAAATACAAACTAACTTATCTAGAATTATCTAGAAGTCTATAGAACTTTATAAAGTTGGTTGTCTTTGTCAAACGGGGTTATCATTTCCGTTTGTGCAGTTGTCTAAAGTTTTCAAGTTCACTAAACGATTAATACCGACAAAATGGCGTTGGGAAAATAAAAATTTTAATGGAGTATTTGTTATTCTATGGTCTTCAAGTTGGCCAAAGTTCTCTGGTTGATTTATAAGGAAAGAGCTTCTAATAATAGGTAGACTCGTACCAAACCGACAGATTTCCTATCCATTAACGCCTCTCTTTAGTAAGAACCGAACAGGAAACATTGGATAACCGTATCTCTGACACTGAATTTTGATAAAACCCTCTTCTTGAAGCCACTGAGGCAGTTCAATCCAATGCTAGTCGAAAGTTAGTGACTCATCTTGAGCTTGTCCCACGCTTAGAGAAGTGACGTTACGTAGAGGTCAGAAATAGATTGAACAATAGCTAGAGTGATTAGTCACTTGATAATTAATTTATTTCTCGCAACGTGATTGGCCGACGAGATGTAACTATGGTTTTATTCTCGCGAGTCGTGTATGACGTCACGGCCCAGCCCGAGTTTGCCCCCTGCGACATATTAGAGCGGCTACGCTTCAAGGTACATATATTGATGTGAAAAATAATATCAAGTCAGATCAATTATTACTTATCACCGAGCGAATGAAGCTGGTAACATCCTAGATCCCTAACAACAACTCTAACTTTCATGATGTCAATGGAACGAAAAAATAGCGGGAATTGTGTGGTTCACGTTCGTAGTGACTCAGACAACGATTTGGATGCGTTATTTCACGTTGTTCAGAAAACAACCAAGGCTGTGGAGTCTTCATCCAGCTCGCTGCCAATGAAGCTGCGTAAACTTCCACCATCTTTCTTCAAGCAACCGACGCTTCTGGATCCTACAAAACTAAGTCCCGATGACAATACGGGGCTTTCGATTTCTCATTCGCGTGCCCACAGTTCGCCGGCTTCTCTGACAATTCCTACGAGTACATCTGGACAAGGATTATACCCATTGCACCCGGCACACAGTAGAACGCAATCTTACGACGGCACTGCGTTCGAAGAATCACAACTGCCTCCAGGATGGGAGATGCGAACTTCGCCAACAGGACAGCCATACTTCATGAAGTAAGTAGAATTGTTCTTTGGGTTAGAAGTACTTCTTATAATCAGCAGTCCAGGTGGTTCTTGCTATTAAATCACAGATGATTACGGAGTCGTGTTGTAAATCATAGCGTTCGAGAATAATTAGCTGTGTGTCGACAAAGTTTTATAGGATTGTTCCTCAAGGTGTCGAATTGTCTGGTTCAGATGTCTTAATTTCGCTCTAGCAATCAATTTACTTCCTTGGAAACACCGTTATATTTTCATCGGGTAAATTGTTTTCAGTTAACACACTAGAAAACCTGTTGTGCTTTCAACGTGTACTATTCAAGATGGCGGGTAATGCATAGAGATCATGTAACGTAGTTAAGTTTACGCCAGTGTAATCTTGTGTTTAAAGAGGACTGCCGTTCAAATCACTAATTGTTGACTATGCTGTTTTGATTTTAGTCACTTCGAACAGATAACGACATGGCAAGACCCCAGGAAGACTCAATCGACCACGAATTTGAACAACTCTAACTCATTACCCGATGGTTGGGAACAAGCCATTACACCAGAGGGAGAGATCTACTATATTAACCATCTTACTCGGACTACAAGTTGGGTCGATCCACGGGTCGCTGCAATACCACAAACCAGACACACCAATCAGCCTCCTTCCATTCTCCAAAATAGACCACAGCCACACAAAGCCATGCTAGAACGAGTACAACTGGAACAAGAAAAGCTGAAGAAAAGACAGCACCAGCTCCGTGAGCAAGAGATTTTACTCAAACATGGCTTATTGGAGCGAGGCGGTACTAAATCTCTTCTAGGGAATTTAGTAAGAGAAAATATAGTAAGAGAGGCTTCAGTAGGACAACTACCTACACAACCAGAAAATACGACACAGAATGGCCACATCAGAGACGAATCGTTCGACTCCGGGCTCGGAATGAACACTGGATACGGAACGTTTATTGCTGATGTAGATGATACTATGTTTGACGCCAACTTCAATACGAAAGACTCAACATGTCGTTCAGGAGAAGGGCGGAATAACACTGGCAGACTTCCAGACTTCTTCGATAATTTGCCTGGGACAAATGTCGACTTGGGGACGATCGACAGCAATGATTCTACGCCTTCAGCCATGGAAACCGATGATCTAGGTGTAGGACTTGATTTGCAAACAGATATGTTAAGTGATGTCGAATCCGTGCTCACTCCCAATATGTCCAAGATCCCAGATCCAAGTTTCTTAACTTGGTTATAACTGTGAACTGTGGGTTTTATCCTTGAGTAGTTCGTATATTTTTTCACACAGAAGTATATATTTTTGTATATTGAAGTATTTTCGAGTATTTTTATATTGTAAGTGAAGCTGTTTTTTCTTTTAGCAGTAGTGGTACTGATAGTACATTTAGTCCGCTAAAAACAAATACCTCTGCTCTTGAAGCAATTTTTGGAGGGAAAATAATTAGTTTTTTGTTAGTAATACTATCCTGCTTAGGTAGGTTTCTAAAGAAGGAAAATCTTATCAGACCGTTGTTTCGCAGCGAAACTCCCAAGTTGACTCTAACCTAACGAGTCGAATACCATATTCACATAGAAATAGTAAGAATTAGAAAGAATATCTAATAGAAAAGTGATTGAAACTGTAAGGAAACAATTTCCAAAGCTTAAAACAAGAAGAGAATACGAAAAATCATGGAGTAAAGGTATCTACTAATCTAGTATTATATTTCTGCTTCGTATATTTGATCCTTCGCTAACTCCTCCTACGAGTTGAGAGTCATAGTAATTCAGTGTTTATTAATTGAAAAATACGCTCAATAACTGGACAATCTTGAACGATATTAGCTATAAGGGAATACATATATATGTGTATACTCCCGGGTGGAGAAAAGTTCTCAAATCTTTATGTACATAAGACAGAGTATTTTGAGCAAAATTATTTTTCTGACATCTTGTTGATCAAAAGAAGAATAAGTTCTTTTTATTTGTTCGGGTTGAATGATTCCTTTGATGCTTTTATGTTAATAAGAATCTCTTATAAAAGGTCTTACTCGTATGCTTGCTGCTTGCTTGTATAAAAATTAGATTTTAATTAACTAGGCGCCCAATATAAAGTGATTGAATTTATAATAACATAGTCATGTTTTAACTAAAGTAGCAGCTCTGCTACCAACTTATCCTTGTAGATTCGAGGATTGACTTTCAATATTGCAATATTTAGATTTAAAACTTTTTGAATAAGAAAAATAGTCCTTTGAAGGTGTAAAATACTATTTCTCTATTTTGCTACAATTAAATCTTAACTATCCTAGATAACTGGGAGGTTTAAAGCATAGAAACTTCCCTATTTTAGTGGTATATTTTCAAGTAAAAAGATATATATTTTTGATATAATAAGTAATCCAATTCGTTTGAATTTTCAGCTTCAAAATGTAAAGTTGATATTTTTGTAATAATCAATGATAATAAAAGAAATGCTACTGAAGAAATGGAAGCAAAGCGAAAACCTGGAATCCCTTACAGATTATTTCGTGTACGATTCTTTTTGATTTGATTAATACCAGATTTCTACCAGTTGGAGGCTCAACACAACACGGAATCCGCTGTGACGTCATGGGGAATATGACGTCAATCATTCTGGTCGCTTGGCTTTCCAGAATTTTACTGTTTTTTCGACGCGACTCCAGACAAGCGTCATTCTACAGAAGAATGATTAATAAATGTCTCTTGAACGACTAAAAAGTGATGCTTGAATTTGAAACGTAATCGGCGTACGTAGTTAAAAACTTTGAACCAAGCATGCCTAATTTTTTTGCTTTCCCGTTTTGGAAATATCTTCAACTTCGTGAAAAAAACTTATCATTGAAAACTTGAAACGAACGTTAACGTTTAGGCGCTTAGCAACGAATGTTTGCAAAAATCGGTTGCCTAAATAAAATGCCGAACTATTCACAAATTTCCAAGTGAATTCAAAAAAATTATCTGACCAATTATAACAAACGCGTCAAATTTATCTTATAACATGTCCGTTCAGATTCAGGAGCAATTAAACTCGAAAACTAATTAAACTCACCCCCTAGTTAAAAAATATTAAAACGGCACTAACATTGGCACGCTAAACAAAACAATTTTCTGGGATTTTTTATAGTTTGTTATTGACTTGAGCTGATAAGTTGAATAGTTGTTTGAGACGAATTGTTTAGCTCAATAAGACCCCCACTGTAGCAAGCAAACATACGAAAAATAAACTCTCTGGCTGATCATGAGCGTGTGCTGTCTTATCTTTTGTCATTTAGAGTTTCTTGGCACTAGAATTGTACACAAATTGATATCTACGAGTCGAAAGTTCAGAATATGAGTAATTTGGTTGTTTTGAACGTGGTCTGTTTAGTATTCAGTACGAGAAGTGTTCATTTTGACTCCCAGAAGCGGCCGAGCATGACTCGCCTTTTTTCCCAGAGTCTTGCTGTTCAGAACTGTTCAGAACTGGGTGAGTATGTTTGCTCATGACAAACAAAATAAGGTGTGGTTGATTCAAAATTGCGAAAACAAAAGCGTCTAAAAGCTGAGTATGAATGAGAAGACAGTTTAATCCCATGGAAGGCTGTGATCTCATTGTGACTTAAAACGATGTACCTGTTAATGGTCAAAGAATGAGCGGATACACTGATCAATAGGGATGCGTCTTTAAGGCGACAATCGAATGCTCCTAAAATCAAACATCGTTCAAGCAATATGAAATATAGACTATATGATAAGCCAAGTTAGCCTTTGCTCAAGGCTGCAAGTCATTATCCAGGTCAATGATTCTAACTGAAACAACTGGTTTTCTAAATCACATGTAATTCAAATCAACTTATGATCGACCTTTTTAGCCTTTCGTCCGACGGTGCTATAGATTGAGTTGTCTTTCGATGCCGCGCTAGTGCTTGTTTCACTTAGACCCTAGACTCAAATTAAGGCTGTTTAAAGTCGGCCAAAATAAATAAAAAATGTGCGATTGTCTTTTCAATTTTTTTCATATATGAAGAATATTTTTTTCTGATGCGATACACTGTTGTGAATCTATCAAAGAAGAGTTAACTAGCTAAAAACTAGTTTGAGCTGCATCGGCGTTTCTAATGAAACAGTAATGATAAAAGGGTAAATTATACACCGCGGTGAAAAGATGAAAAAACGTGGTCTCTCTTACTCCTACGAAGGAGTCCGAAACGTCAGTAAGTTTTTTCATCTTTTCATGATGTATAATTTACCCTTTAATTAACACATCTATCAATTTACCCTTTTATCATTAATCTATCAAAGAGTTTATTTGCCGTTAGGTCCTACATCCTACGCCCTCTGACCGTGCCACTTGGTGCATAAATCCTTAGCGCATACTAACTAAACTAAGTAGCAAAACAAAATTGCAAGGAATCAGGATTTACGGACTGTTGTACGAAGACGGCCCTATGTCCAGCACTTTCCTGCAGTGGATTGTGTGGCGTTTGACATGTTTCCGTGTCGTGAAGAGACAATCAGTAGTCGTCGTGGTCCATGCAGTCATCTCTAATACGTGAGCTAAACAGCCCGATTAGCTACACCTCGTTGATGACTGAAGTACGAACTTAGAAGCTACGAAGCTTTGTTCACCCACTTGAGTTTAAAAAAAGATTCTTGTATTAACCAGAACTGAAGCGAAAAGAAATTGTTAGAAACACTTGATAACGCTTTGAATAACGGCCAACAATCGGTTAAGATTTTTCTTTCGCGCGCGCGTTTTGGTTTTGTCTGCTCGTGTGTCATGTAGTTGGCTTAACTGGTGGGCCTACGTTTTTCCTGGTTTCCCAGTTTTCTAATTTTATTTATTCTCATTCTCCTTCTCCTTCTCTCTTCTTCGTCTGTAATATTTCAATGTTTATATCGATCCAGGGGTAGTTCTAAAATAAACTTGTCTTTCATTTACATCCAGTAATCCCGTTGCTCGAGGCGAAGTTTGATTAAATACGGATGCAAGTATCCGTTCTCAGTTACTTATGTCGATCATGAACATCTTACTATAGCCTGGTTTCCATATGATCGCTCACGATCGCCGGATCGCTGAAAATGATGCCAGCGATCGCGAACGATTATATGGAAACACTTTTCAGCGATCGAGCGATCGTAAGCGATCGTGAGCGATTGCGATCGCTGAGATAGCAAAAGTTCTATCTCAGCGATCGTGAGCAACCGTGAGCGATCGTTAGCGATTATATGGAAACCAGGCTTATCTTTGCTATGTCTTCATAAGATTTACTGATGCTTGCTTCCTGTATTTTGAAAACCCAAGACAGTGACAAGTAGGCAAAACAAAAATAGGAGATTAAAGAAATCTTAGCCGGCTTAAAACACTGAATCAAAAATTGGGAAGAGATTCAACGAGCATGCAGCAAGGACAGATGAGCCTGTTTCCCAAACCGGCAAATATGGTTAAATATTTATTTATTCTGCGCATAGTTCATGCTCTTGCGGTGGGACTAATCATATTTATACATTGGATATATTTAGGGTGAAGGAGTGTACGTCTATTTTTACATTGCTGCTGGTAGTTTCGACTAGAGTCTTTGTCGACAAGAAAGTCGATAACAGCTGGCCTAAAGCTAGAAGGCAAGGGTGGGTCACGGCTCGTGTGGGTGCTCTACTGGTCACAGTCAGAGTGAATTACAGGAGTTTGTGAAGGACCGACAAAGAGCTTTTCGCTACGTTATGATAATGATAATGATAATGAGGGAAAGTAAGAGAGAGAGAGAGAGGCAAAAGCAGCAAGAAATAGACTACAGACAACATAAATGCAGCCAACATGCAGAGAAGGAAAATACAAACAAGACCAAACCAAACCAAAGTAAAGCTTCAAGTAAACAATGACTAAGAGCATAAACGGAAGTGATGGCCAAATCATTCAGACAGTCCTAGACAGAATGGAGCCTTTTTACCCTGGTTCAGGAAGTGTGAGGGTTCTGGTGGTTAGTCCGTGGGTGGCCATCTTAGTCTACTAGAATGAATGGTTTCTGACGTGTACGAGAGTTTACTGTCCCTGTACCGGTCACGGACTATAACTAGAATATCCGGCGCACGCACTAGAGCTAACGCAACGATGGGGTCACGTAACGGGCGTCTAGCCTGGTACAGGACACGTGGACAAATGGATGTTGCTCAGTAGACGTAGCTTAGTTGCAAATTGGTTGGGATCCACGATCCTCAGGATCTTCACGTCTGTTTCGACTTCTTTCTAATCCGTGTAGCTTCAGCTTTAAATATACTCTTAAAACAGAGAACTGATGAAGAGAGAGAGAGAGAGAGAGGGGGAGAGGGGGTAAAGTGCGCACCGTCGGCTCCCTGGAAGACCAGCTACTTGCTGAAGGAACACTGACATTAGCTTTCCGTGTTTTGGTCGGAAGGGAAGAAGAGATCTAAGGAAGAAAGGGCTGACTGAACCAGCAACCAACTCAGCATTCACACAAATACACTTGACAAGAGATATATAATAGATATATTACATAAATATAATGTAATGATGACCTGTCTTTTAAAGAAACTATGAAGCACATCAATGATTGTTTATCTGAAATTGATTCTTGGATGACCCTCAATAAGTTGAAATTAAACAAGAGAAAAACAGAATTTCTCATCTTCTCTTCCTTGAACAATCCTCAACACTGTAGTCAAAATCTTCTTTTTGGTCCTGATGAAATTGTCCCCTCTACTCAAGCTAGAAATATTGGTGTCACATTTGATTCTGCTCTCACCATGGTACCTCATATAAAGAACACCTGCAACACTGCCTTCTTTCATCTTCGTAACATTGCTAAACTTCGTAAATATCTCTCCGTAAAGTCCACTGAAATTCTTGTTCATGCTTTCATAACTTCAAAACTTGACAATTATAACTCTATTTTATTTGGCCTTCCGAAATACCTCATTAACCGTCTTCAATCTGTACAAAATGCATCTGMCCGCCTTGTAACTCTAACCAAGAAACGCGATCACATTACTCCTATTCTCATCAACCTGCACTGGCTTCCTATTGAATATCGAATAAAGTTTAAAATTCTCCTACTAACCTTCAAAGCTCTATATGGCTCTGCTCCTATGTACATTCAAGAATTAATAAATAGATATTGTCCTG